CGTGTGATGTGAGCACACCACACCACTACCACCACCGTGGCGATTCAGGCTTACATAAACCACTACCACCACACCCACACCGTGTGAGCTTACCATACACCACTACCTTCGTGTGATGTGAGCACACACCCACCATTGATGTGAGCTTACTGTCACCACTACCACCGTGTGATGTGAGCTTACCACACCACCAATGTGATGAGCTCACCACTACCACCACCACCGTCGATGTGAGCACCGCACACCACCACCACCGTGTGATGTGAGCACTTACCACACACTGCGTGATGTGAGCCACACACTACCATCACCGTGTGATGTTAACACCACACACCACCGCACGCCACCGGTGTGATGTGAGCTTTCACACACCACCATCACTGTGGTGATGTGAGCTTACCTACACCACCACCACCGTGTGATGTGACTTACCATACACCACTACCACCGTGTGAGCAGCTTACCACTTCACCACCACCGTGTGGCCAGGCTTACCATACACCACTACCACCACCACCGTGTGATGTGAGGCTTACCACACACCACCACCACCGTGTGATGTGAGCTTACCATACACTGCTACCACCACCACCGTGTAATGTGAGCTTACCATACACACTACCACCGTGTGATGTGAGCTTACCATACACCACTACCATCATTTGATGTGAGCTTACCACACACCACCACAACCACCGTGTGATGTGGGCTTACCATACACCACTACCACCATTTGATGTGAGCTTACCACACACCACCACTACCACACCACCACTACCACCGTGTTGATGTGAGCTTACCGCCCACCACCACCACCTGTGATGTGAGCTTACCACACCACCACCGTGTGATGTGAGCTCACCACACCACCACCACCACCACCGTGTGATGTGAGCTTCCCTGCTGTGTGATGGCTTACCACACACCACCACCACCGTGTGATGGAGCTTTACCATACCACTACCACCACCACCGTGTGATGTGACTTACCATACCACCACCATCATTGATGTGAGCTTACCATACCGCTACCACCGTTGATGTGAGCTCGCACCACCACCACCACCGTGTGATGTGAGCTTACCGTACACCACTACCACCGTGTGATGTGAGCTTACCACACACCACCACCACCGTGTGATGTGAGCTCACCACTACCACCACCACCGTGTGATGTGGCTACCACCTCACCACCAAGTGTGGTGTGAGCTTACCACACACCACCACCACCGTGTGATGGAGCTTACCACACACCACCACCACCGTGTGAGGCTTACCACACACCATCACCGTGTGATGTGACACCACACACCACCACCACCGTGTGATGTGAGCTTTCCACACACCACCATCACCACCACCGTGTGATGTGAGCTTCCACACACCACCACCACCGTGTGATGTGAGCTTACCATACACCACTACCACCACCACCGTGTGATGTGAGCTTACCATACACCACTACCACCGTGTGATGGAGGCTTACCATACCACTACCACCACCGTGTGGTGTGAGCTTCATAAAACCACTACCACCACCGTGTGACGTGAGCTTACCACCACCACTACCACCGTGTGATGTGAGCTTCCATACGCTTCCACCGTGTGATGTGAGCTACCAAACACCACCACCACCACCGTGTGATGTGAGCTTACCGTACACCACTACCACCGTGTGATGTGAGCTTACCACACCCACACCACCACCGTGTGATGTGAGCTCACATTACCACCACCACCGTCTGATGTGAGCTTACCACACACCACCACCACCGTGTGATGTGAGCTTACCACACACCACCACCACCGTGTGATGTGAGCTACCATACACCACTACCACCGTGTGATGTGAGCACCATACACCACTACCACCGTGTGATGTGAGCTTACCATGCACCACCACCACCATGTGATGTGGGCTTACCACACACCACCACCACCGTGTGATGTGAGCTTACCACACACTACCATCACCGTGTGATGTGGGCTTACCACACCACCACCACCACCGTGTGATGTGAGCTTTCCACACACCGTCACCACCACCGTGTGATGTGAGCTTACCACACCACCACCACCACCGTGTGATGTGAGCTTACCATACACCACTACCACCACCACCGTGTGATGTGGGCTTACCGCCACCACTACCACCGTGTGATGGCAGCTTACCATACACCACTACCACCACCACCGTGTGGTGTGAGCTTCGCAAACCACTACCACCACCGTGTGATGTCAGCTTACCATACACCACTACCACCGTGTGATGTGGCTTACCATACACCACTACGTGTGATGTGAGCTTACCAAACACCACCACCACCACCGTGTGATGTGAGCTTACCGTACACCACTACCACCGTGTGATGTGAGCTTACCACACCACCACCACCGTGTGATGTGAGCTCACCACTACCGCATCTGATGTGAGGCTTACCACACACCACCACCACCGTGTGATGTGAGCTTACCACACACCGTGTGATGTGAGCTTACCACACACTACCATCACCGTGTGATGTTAGCTACCACACACCACCACCACCACCACCACCGTGTGATGTGAGCTTTCACACACCACCATCGCCACCACCGTGTGATGTCGGGCTTACCACACACCACCACCACCGTGTGATATGGAGCTTACCATACACTACCGTGTGATGTGGAAACACCATACACCACTACCACCACCACCGTGTGGTGTGACCTCACCACTGCCACCACCACCGTGTGGATGTGGTTTACCATACCCACTACCACCGTGTGATGGCGAGCTTACCGCACCGCTACCACCGTGTGATGGAGGCTTACCACACACCACCACCACCACCGTGTGATGTGAGCTTACCGTACACCACTACCACCGTGTGATGCGAAGCACCACACACCACCGCCACCGTGTTATGTGAGCTCACCACTACCACCACCACCGTGTGATGTGAGCTTACCACACACCACCACCACCGTGTGATGTGAGCTTACCACCACACCACCACCGTCAGCGTGTGAGCTTTCACGCACCACCATCACCACCAGCGATGTGGCTTGCCACCATCAACCGGTGATGGCGTAACACCACCTGCCATCGTTGAGTGTTGAGCTTACCACACCACCACCACCACCACCGATGTGGGCTTTCACACCTCCATCACCACCGTGTGATGTGACACACACACCACCACCACCGTGTGATGTGAGCTTACCATACTACCGTGTGATGGCAGGCTTACCATACCCACTACCACTGTGTGATGTTGACACCGCCACCACCACCACCGTGTGATGGCTTTCACACCACCATCCTACCACCGTGTTGATGTGAACACCACCGTGTGATGTGGAGGCTTGCCATACACCACTACCACCACCGCAGGTGACATGTCTGGCTTACCACGCCTGCCCGCGGGTGTTGAGCTTACCGCCACACGCCCGCTGCACCGTTGGTGGTCAGGCTTCCTGCACACTGCACGCCACCACCGTGGGATGTGGGCTTTGCACCACCACCACCACCACCGTTTGTGGGAGCTCCACTACACCACCACCGCGGTGATGCTAACCACACCACCACCACCTGCCGTGTGATGTGAGCTTAGCACCACCTGTGTGATGTGGGCTTGCCACCCACCACCACCACCACCACCACCGCCAACTGTGATGTGGCTTACTGGCATCCACCACCACCACCACCGTGTGATGTGGCTTACCGCGTGTGGCGGGCTTACCACACCACCACCACCAGCGTGATGAGCTTACCGCGCATCGCAGGTGATGGAACTACTACCACACCGTGTGATGACCGCACCACCATCGTGCGATGTGATCTTGCCGCACCACCACCACCGTGTGATGTGAGCTTCCACACACACCATGCACCACCACCACGTGTGATGTGAGCTTACCACACCACCACACACCACCACCTTGATGTGAGCACACCACCACCCACCACCGTGTGATGTGGTTGCCACACACCACCACCACCACCACCACCACCACCCCAGTGTGTTGAGCTTACACACCACCACCTGCGTGTGCTGTGAGCTTGCCACACACCCACCACCACCACCACCGTGTGCTGTGAGCTTGCCCACACCACCTACCACCACCGTGTGATGTGAGCTTGCCACACACCACCACCACCACCGTGTGTTGAGCTTACCACCACCACCCACCTGTGTTGAGTTCTGTTGTTTCGCGGCTCTGTTAGCTCACCTGTTGTCTTTAGCTCACCTGTTTCAATCTTTGCTCACCTGTTGAGTCATCTTTGCTCATCAGGTTGGTGTCTTTGCTTCATCCGTTGGTCTTCCTTTCACCTGTTGGTAATCTTCCTTCACCTGTTGGTCCATCTGCATTCTGTTGGTGTCTTCCTGTCTGTTGTGTCTTTCTTTCACCTGTTGGTCCATCTTCCTTTCACCTGTTGTGTCTTTCCTTTCACCTGTTGGCCCTGTCTTCATTTCACCTGTTTGTGTCTTAAGCTCACCTGTTGGTTGTCTTAAGCTCACCTGTTGGTATCTTCATCTCACCTGTTGGTCCAATCTTCATCTCACCTTTGGTCCAATCTTCAGCTCATCTGTTGTGTCTTCGGCTCATCTGTTGAGTGTCTTCCAGCTCACCTGTTGGTCCAGTCTTCAGCTCATCTGTTGGTCAATCTTAAGCTCACCTGTTGGTGTCTTCAGCTCACCTGTTGGTCAATCTTCAGCTCACCTGTTGGTCCAATCTTCAGCTCACCTCTTTGGTCAATCTTCAGCTCACCTGGTCATCTTCAGCTCATCTGTTGGTCAATCTTAACTCACCTTTGGTCTTCTCTTCTCTCGCCATTTTAAGTTCATGGTCTCTTTTCCATTTTCTCAATGTCTTTCTTAACCTTTCTGACCAGCTCAGTTAAAATATGTTTGGGTGAACTATGGTGGAGTTAGGTTAAAGGGGCCTGGTGCGTATGGTATGGGACATTTGAGAGAAAAATACCAACATATAAGCTTACACTCGGTCTCCTTATGCCTGCGTGTGGTAAAAATGTTTCAAAGGTAAGGTTTAAAGTATTGAAATAATGAGGTTGAATGTGAGTAAATGTGGAAGTTCAGGCAGCGTGGTCAGTCATAAAGCAATGCGAAAACACCAACTAACATAACAAATTAATGAATAAGTGTATGACACACACACACACACACACACACACACTGCACACTGAATGTACACCTGTTTACCTATGCCCGTGTGTGTTATGTATTGTTTTGGACTTTCATGACAGACACAGGGTGTCTCTTAAGCTGTGTTTGATAATTTTAATAACTCAATGAAATGGACTTATCAATACAATGGAATTTTCATGTTATTAAGTTATTTTAATAAATTCAACAAATGACAGAATAAAGTCGAAGTCTGGTTGTCTGTACACTATTGCCTCACACCTGGCCGTATTGACTTAGGATGTTGACGGTCAGAGACTGATCTGTCTAATCTAACCTAACCTGATACAATCATAATCTGAAAACCTAACCGACCTAACCTGACCTAACCTGAGCCTAACCTGACTGACCTAACCTGACCTGACCTGACCTGAGCCTAACCTAACTAATAACCCTAACCTAACCTAACCTAACTAACCTCCTAACCTAACTTCTTCTTCTTACAATTCACCTGCAAGTCTTGCACAAACTCTCACCAGCAGTGTTTTGTTCCGCGATCGATGACCAAGTGTCCTTCTTGAAAAATTCGCCACCCTAGCTGGGATCTTCAATGACCTCTGAACCCTTCCCCTTCCTTCCTTCCATTTCCCTTCACTTTCTTTTCCCTCCATCTTTCATTTCCCTATCCCTCCACTCCCTCCTCCTCCATCATCACCTTCCTCTTCCCTTCCTTCCCTCGACACCACAATAGCTATTGTCCCTCAGTTCCTCCCTTCCCAGCCCTCCTGGTATCCTCCGCTCGATCGTGTTCCTTTCCCATAAGTCTATTACACCAGATTAAATCTCCTTCCACCACCTCCTAAACCTTCCTTCCCTTCCCATCAGGCTAACTCAACAACCTCACTACTGTATCTTATCTTCCCCTCACACTCTTCTTCTTGGCTATTTCTTCTTCTTCTTCCTTCATTCATCTCGCTATCGCCTCTTTTGCTCTCTCTCTTATGTTTCCTCCCTTTCTTTCTCGTAACGTCGCCCGCCTCCCTCCTCCTCTCCTCCTCCTCCTCCTCCTCCTCCTCCTCCTCCTTCCTCTCCTACGTCAGTTTCTCCATATCTCACAAACGTGCCAGTTCCTCGCCGAGGGAATCTCCGTTACCTCGCCTGTGCCTCGCCACCATTACCTCGTCCTGTGTATCTCGCCCTTGTGCCTCAGCCCATATTATATCATGCTGTGCGTCGGTATAATGACTCATATATCATGCCAATGCCTCATCCATAATAACCAGCCCTGTGCCTCGCCCTTATTATATCATGCTGTACCTCATACATTGTGCCTCGCCGCCGTCGTCCCTGTGATAGCCCTATTGTACCTCGCCCTTGTACCTCGCCCCTGTGCATCGCCGCTGTGCGTCGTCCCTGCGTCGTCCCTGTAACTCGCCTGTACCTCGCCCTTGCCTCGCCCCTGTACCTCGCCACTGCGTCGTCCCTGTAACTCGCCCTGGCTCGCCGCCAGCCTCGCCACTGTGCCTCGCCATTGTGCCTCGCCACTGTGCGTCGATCACCATTGCCTCGACCTGTGCCTCGCCTGTGTATCGTAGCCTCGTCCTGTACCCCTCGCCTATTGCCTCGCCCTTGTGCCTCGCCACTGTATCGTCACTGTACCTCGCCCCTGTGCGTCGTCCTATTGCCTCGGCCTGTGCCTCGCCCTGTGCCTCGCCCTTGTGCCCCTCGTCCCTGTGCCTCGTCCATGTAACTCGCCCTGCCTCGTCCTGTACCTCGTCCTGTACCTCGCCTGTGCCTCACCACTGTGCCTCGCCACTGTGCGTCATAACTCGCCCTATTGCCTTGTCCCTGTATCGTCGCTGTACCGTGTCCCTGTGCTTCGTCACTGCACGCCGTCCGCCTTACCGCCCCACAATACCTCCGCCCCTGTACCTCGCCCCTGTGCGTCGTCCCTGTACGCCTCGGCCCTGTGCCTCGCCCTGTGCCTCGCCCTTGTGCCTCGCCACTGTGCGTCGTCCATGTGCCTCAGCCTGTACCTCGTCCCTGTGCCCTCGTCCTGTGCCTCAACCACTGTGCCTCACCACTGTGCCTCGCCACTGTGCGTCGTCCGTAATAACTCGCCCTGTGCCAGCCATCGCAATGCCCCTCGTCACTGTGCCGTGTCCCTGTGCTTCGTCGCTGTGCCTCGTCCGTGTACCCGCAACCCTGCCTCGCCCCTGTGCCTCGCCCTTGTGCCTCGCCCCTGTGCCTCGCCCTTGTACCTCGTCCCACCAGCCCGCGCTCGTCACTGTGCCTCGCCACTGTACCTCACCCGCTGTGCCGCCACTGTGGCACCTCACCACTGTGCCTCGCCACCAGCCCTCACCACCTTGCCTCGCCCCTGTGCCTCGCCATTGCCTCGCCCTTTTCTCGCCCTTGACGCCTCGTCCACCAATACCGATCATATTGCCTCATCACTGTGCCTCACCACTGTGCCTCGCCCTGTGCCTCGCCCTTGTGCCTCGCCTGTGCCTCAGCCCTTGTGCCCCTCGGCTATTAGATCAGGTCGCTGTGCCTCGCCACTGTGCCCTCAGATCGCAATATCAATACTGTGCCTCACCACTGTTGCCTCATGCGCAATACCTCGCCCTTGTTGCCTCTGGCTGTACGCGCTAATGCCTCGTCTCCACTTCGCCCCTGTGCCTCGATCACTGTGCCTCATACTGCCTCGTCCCTGTACCTCGCCACTGTGCCCCTCTGCTGTGCCTCGCCACGCCTCACCATATTGCCTCGCCCCTATTACCTCGCCCGCTTGTACCTCGCCCTGTGCCTCGCCAGCCCTCGCCTGTACCTCGCCCTGTACCGTCCTGGCACCTCCCACCACTATTGCCTCGCCACTGTGCCTCGCCAGCCTCTAGCTATGCCTTGCCCTCGTCTCTGTGCTTCGCCCCTGTACCTCGATCACTGTGCCTCGCCACTGCCTCGATCCTGTGCCTCATCGCTGTAACCTCCGCCACTGTTATCGCCCTGTGCCTCATCATGACGCACTCGCCCCTGTGCCTCATGTATGCGCGCCCTGTTGCCTCGCCCTTGACCGCGCCTCGCCCTGTGCCTCGTCCTGTGCCTCGCCTGTACCCCTCCTGCTGTACCTCGCCACTGTGCCTCGCCCTTGTACCTCCCTGGCTGTACCGCGCTATGCCTCGTCTGTGCTTCGCTTATTTATCGTCACTGTACCTCGCCACCATGCCTCGTCCCTGTGCCTCGCCACGCAATGCCTCACCACTGTACCTCGCCCAATACCTCGCCTTATTGCCTCGCCCCTGTGCCTCGCCCTTGTACCTCGCCCTGTGCCTCGCCCCTTGACCTCGCCCACCAACCTCGTCCCTGTGCCTCGCCGCCAATGCCTCACCACTGTGCCTCGCCACTGTGCCTCCTGGCTTACCCGCGCCTATGCCTCGTCCCTGTGCCTACGCCTGTGCGCACTCGCCAGTGTTGCAGATCTCTCATTCTATCTCTTCTTTCACCTTAGTTCCTGCTCTCACGCCTGTTGAAGACTCATTCCTTCCTTCCTTCATACCATTCAATACCATTCCTTCGCTTCATCGCCAATTCTCTTTTCATTCCCCTGTTCTCTCCTTTCGTATTTCAAGCATTCCTCTCTCTCTCTCTCTCTCTCTCTCTCTCTCTCTCTCTCTCTCTCTCTCCTCTCTCTCTTTCTCTCTCTCTCTCTCTCTCTCTCTCTCTCTCTCTCTCTCTCTCTCTCTCTCTCTCTCTCTCTCTCTCTCTCTCTCCACCTCTCCTCTCAAATCAATTTTGCTGTACACTTCCACACCTTCACCCTTTCGCCTGTAACGCCTCGCACTTTCACTCGGAAAAAGTACCTGCGTCGCGCCTCATATCTTCGTCCTCTGTTTTCTCTGTGCTCCACACACCCCCATCATGCACTCACACCCCCACTCATGCGCCCCATCACTCCTTTTATCACTCCACCCCCATCATGCCTCACACTATCGCACCCCCCTCACTGCCCCGCTCACTCATATCACTCGCACTCACCTCCGCTCACGCATCACTCACGCATCATCACGCCCCACTCACGCATCATGCACACTCTGCATCCCCACTCGCACTCACACCCCATCACTCACACTCACTCACACTCGCCGCCCCACTCACCTATCCCCCACTCGCACGCCCCCACTCACCCCACTCACACCCCATTCACCCCCGCTCACGCCTCTCATGCGCCTGATCACACCCCACTCACACCCCTCACGCCCCATCACACCCCCACTCGCACACCCCATCACCGCCTCTCGTCGCTGATCACGCCCCTCTCACCTCCTCTCACACCCCTCTCCGCACCCCAGCTCACACACCCCGCTCCACACTGCCCCCGCCTCTCGCACCCCATCACACACCCCCACTCCACACACTCACCCGCCTCCACTCACGCACCCCAGTCACACCTCCACTCACACCTCACTCACACCCACTCATACACCCCACTCACACCTGCACTCCACCCCACTCCACACCCACTCACACACCCCCACTCACACCCCACTCACACACTACACTCTGCTCAACCACAGTGACGACAGCGTTGTTCAGGAGATCTTGGTGAACCAGTGAACTGGAAATGAGTCACGCCTGGTCATTTCCTCATTATCAGCTATCATCATCGCTCATCATCATCATCATCGCCATCATCATCATCATCATCATCATCATCATCATCATTCATCATCATCATCATCATCATCTGCCCCCATCATTCTCATCGACAGTGCATTGGAA